CCGGTGAGGTTGAGATTTGTTACACAATATCCGACTTCCTTAAGTCGCGCTCACTTTGTCATTGTCAATTTCGGCTTGAAGTCACCTTGCGGGTCGTGGTATTTTTTGAGCAACGCTCTTTTGCTCCTTTGAAAAGGTGGAAAATTGTATACTGCAACTTTTGTGCGAAATGAAGCCTGGAATTATAGTAGATAGATGAAGTACTCAAATGGATATAGTTTTGCGGATGTGAATTAACAGTCAAAGTTTCGGTTCAGTATTTTCGCCATAGCTGTCACAGACACGGAAGAATATCGATGCATTATTACGGTAAATGAAATGTGTTCTTTCCCATAGTCGATGTTTCGGTATAGAAAAGAATTTAGACAAATGAAGTTTTGAAAAACTTCCCATTTCATAAGATGGTCAATCAACCATAAGGCGAGTTCACCTCCTACGACATGTTAGGCGATGGAAGGCGCGGAAGCCGTCTTCAACTTGCATTTGTTCGAGTTACAAGGCGAACAGATAATATGGTGAAAGGAAAGGAAGGAGGTGGATTTTGAAGCTGCCAATCACTTGCTGAATTCAACAAAATTTATTGTCTTAAAATAGGATCTCCAAAGTTAATTATCCTCCTTCCACTCGTACTTTGGGCATTTCCGCTTCCGGTTGCATAAGTACGCATTGACACCTGAAAATCGTGTTGTCAATGCTTCAGGTTAGAGAATATTACTTGTTTGGTTGCCATTTTTTTCGAAGTCAATTATTTCATCGTCCCATAAACCAAGTTAACCGTCATGAAGGTGAGGTCGACGCTGAGATGAAGCAGAACGGTAGCAGAGGGAAGGATCCAGAGAAGGGGTTAGGAGGTGAAAGGGATGTCATGCCACCCCGCATTCCCTTTGGAAGGCTGTGCGAAACTCTTGCATCAACCGTCAATACAGACAGCTCCGTTCTCCTCCTCTACTTACTCCTGCATCGCAACGATCTCTTTCGCACCTTTGTCATGGAGACCCGGGCGTACGAAAAGTTCGTAAGTTTTACCCGCTTTCCTTTTTCACTGTACCGAATCTTTGTGCTGTTGGTATGGCGTTAATCTATTCTGCGTGAATTTCGTTTGCGCACCACTTTTCCTAACTGGGCATTCGTTATTGTTAAAGGGCTTCTAGGAGTTATAACCTCTTTGTGTCGTCGTAGAATAAAAGGGGTTTGTATTAAATACGTTTGTTATAAAAGTGAGTCTGGACGTTGTTCTTTAAAAATAATCTATTTACCATGCATTTAGATATGCAGCATGCAATGCATGTAGCAAATGTCTCTTGTGCTATTCAGACATTCTCCATCTGTTCCCTGTTATATCAATCGCCGGCGGAAAATTCTCACCTTGTGTACATGGCTCTCATAGTTTTGCTAATTCTCACGGAGAACGAAAACTTCGCCAAGGATGTACACGAAATTGTAAGTAGGAAACTCTCTTGCTGATTCCGGTAGTTTTATCATTTCAAACAGGCTCTATCATTACTTAAGCGCAACCTCGTCCTATTCCACTAGGTTGGTAAAATTTATCATGTCACGCCTCTTTAGCCGGTGAAGAAGCCACCACCAAACGCAGATCGTCAGCTGACAGGCGTCTCCCTGGGCAGTCTCCTAGTACATGTTTTGACTCGAACCATTCGGCACCACTTGAATCAGCTGAGGGACAAGTACTTGCATATAAACAGTCTTGCTGCTTTGGCCAATCTCTCACCGAAAATAACTTATCTCCATTCCTACGTCAGTCAGGCCTTGGTTGAGTGAGCCCATTCAAATGTAGACCTTGTTTGCCAACCGCTTTTTTTTTCGCTTGTGTAAAATCGACAGGGTTGGACATTATTTATTTTTTGTCATTGGTTGACCGATTTTGAATGATATGGCGGGCGGCTGAATTGCGGGCGATCTGGAAGCCGATAATATTCCACGACATGAGTCCGCCCTATCCTTAGCAGTCACTCTTTTGTTTTGACCATCAAAGCATTTCATTCAGTTGAAATCATCACCTATTATCCCCTTCCTCGCTTTGCATTGTGGGAGCTAGAAATGAAACTTGAGCAATACCCCCACAGTAATCGGAGTCTACACATTGAGCCTTATTTTATTTTTGAGCTGTTCAGCCCATCTTAAAAATTCTTTTTGATCTCTTCCAAAGTGAGAAGAGATCACAGAGCTATTTTGGAACCCCTTTCGCCTACTGGCAGAGTAGGTCATCTAACGATCATATTGGTAGAATTGTGCTTTTCGGGGTCTTGTGCTCATCTTATTGCCTCTGTGCATATAGTCTCTTGCAGAAGTTGGTGAAGCGGCACAAGCGTCTGGTGAACGAGATTCGGACTCTCAACGAACAGTTGAAGGAGCATGAAAAAACCGCTCGGAGCACAGTACCTCCATATCCGAACGTTCGATTGAACCTGATGTCGTCGTCTGATACCTTGGTTCGTCCACTTCTCTTGTTTGACCTCTTGTCACCTCGATCTTGAACTGAGTAATTTGCAAATGTAGGAATCAAAATGATCTTCTCGTCCTTTTCTCTAATGGTATAAACTAGCATTGATGTTGCATTGGCTGATCTTGTCTGAAATATTTATGGCACTTCACCCAATTCAATGCGTAAATCACAAATAGTCACACGAAATTATCAAAATATCGTCCCCCATTTTCATTTCTTAGGAAATTTCATGCTCAATTTCTTGCATAGCAAAACTGCAAGATGTTCTGGTTCCTCAGAATTATGCGCGTTCTAATTCTTCCTATTCTACTACTACTTGCAGCTCCAAGATATCTCGCTGTTGGAGGAGGTGATTCGCATGACCTTAGAGATCTTCAACTCTATTCTCACTCATTCTCTCGCTGCGAACACCCACCTTATCTACAACCTTCTCTACCAACGCGAGTACCTTGCACCCATTCACAACCACCCATCCTTCAATGTAAGTCTCGTTTGTGGTGGAAAGTGTAACAAGGCTACTGTAGGTCCTCTCCCCTACACTGCAATTGACGTCTGCTGATGTCCTTCTTAAATTGTGACTTTTCGTTTACTTATTTAGGAATGTGATTAATTCATTTCTAGTGGACGGGCAGATGGTTTAATTTATTCTTTCACGTTAGGCAGCGCTCCACTTATTTCCATTACCCTAGTTAAGGCCATTGCAATGAGATGAGTGTCATTGTACCATAATCCAAAATTATAACCGAAATTTTCACATTTATACTTTGCCTTGACTGGGTTGGGGCGTCACACGATGGAAGCGCAAGTATTGGGGTGAATTCGCAAATTTGACATTGATAAACATAATGCGGATGTTCATCTCATTCCTACCTCACTCCTGTATCCTCTGCTAGTACGGTGCCGTCCTGACTGTGTATCATTTTTAATTAACCTCATGGGCTGCGGGGTCGCCTGACGTGATGGTGCACAACTCTGTTGTTAAATCTTCCATATTGACTTGTGTCACAGGTTTGGATTCTGTCGTTACTCAAGGCAGCAAACAATTGGTACTCTCAAAATCGTTGGCTTTTTGTCAATAAATGGTCATATGCTTTCAAACTTATGTCCGTGAGTGTGAGATCCTTAGCAATGTAAATGCAAACGTAAATTCCACTTCATGCTTTGTGTTCTCATTCTGGTCGTAAACTTCCGAGCAAGCACAGGTACTCTTGAATTGACTCATTTTTCACCATGACCTAAATTTTGCTTTCTTTCAGTGGGTTCTTCGGAAAAGGTCCCACTCTAGCTGTTATTTTTCGTGTTTCCCTCCCCTCTTTCTAAAAGGATTTGATGCAGAACATCGACACAGTTCTGGGCTTCTTTGCCTCCCGCATTGAGAAAGACTTAGGTCCGCAGCCCACAGAGACATCTGCAGTGATGGCCGTCATCAATAAGTCCATGGGGGATTTCACCCGCATCCATACTCTCAAGGAGTTCCAGGAGCTGAAATTCAAGTACGTGGAGGAGGATTCGCCGGATGAGTTCTTCATCCCCTATGTGTGGTCTTTGGTATATCGACACTCGGGACTGGGGTTTGAGCAGAAGTTGCTCCACTCCTTTGGCAGCTACGAATACTGTGCCAGTGAGAACGATGCGGATGGTGATATTGCCACTGCTACTACCGCTTCTGAAACTACTGTCGGTAGTAACTTCAGCAATCCTGAAATCAATGCAACCCATTGAATTCAAGGATGAAAAAAATCCTTTCTAAAACTAAGTCTTTCCCATCTCATCCATTTGAAGGCTTGCTTACTCGTCACCACCATTGCGTCTGCACACCTTAACCAAGTACTTTTTCGCTTTCTTTCTTTTGGTGGTGTATTTTTGTGCTGTGTGAAATAGACGGACGGGTTTATGACGTTGGGACGAGTGATTGCTCTTCTATTTTATTCGCATGCAGGGTTGTGCAGGTTCACCAGGTGGGTAGGTAGCCGCTCCACTAAACTCATTGTGGGGCTCTCCCTGCATCGGTATGCATTCTCAAGGTAATGTGAGATGCGCTGCCAGAGGCGGAGTTTGTCTTGGGTTGGTAGACACGCACACGGGGCGAGTAGGAGGTTCCGAAGTTGACTGAAGTGGCCTCTGAGCTAGGTCCACCAGACGCCGTGTATTTTGAAAAAATTAGGTTTTGTCAACGCAAGCCAAGTTTTAGGTGTCTAGATAAGATGTTGTAATACTTTGTCTAGGTGGTCACATGGCGTTCGGCGGTCACTTTAGAATCTGTCTGGTCCTTGTACACGTGGGCTGGCCTCGAACCATACCCAAGCGCATTCATCTCGTCGTCCTCAGAATACATGTAACCAACTGCACTTACTGATTTCTTTACCAGATAGGAAGTCTCGGAATGCTAAAATATTATTTTAATTTTAATTTTAATTTTGGTAATCACACTCAAAAGCAACTTTTCTTGAATAATTATTGCACTTGATAAAATGACACTTGCAGCCAATAGTTCTGATCGATGAAATGTAATACAACCGAATAGCTCAGATTTAATGCTTACTGCTTTTCACTTTGAATTAAATATCTTTTTGTTTTAGTGACTCCACAGTCAAACAATTAGCTTACATGACCTTTACCAGTTCAATTGAGATCTATGGTAGCGTGGTTGGGTCGATTGGCACGTTTAGTCGTGTTTGGGCTGATGCATAGACATAACGCACCCTTTTGTTTTAATTTTAGTCCGAGGAAAGTGTAGAGTAATGCATTCACTGTATTACAGATCAAATATCCCTATCATCCCGTACCAATTGGCTGGTGTAGTGCCTCCTCGAGGTTCGGATTTATTTTGATCTTATTTCTCGTAGTCGACTTGACAGATGAAGAAGATTTAGATTCTGTGTCTCTTCAATTTCAAAAAAAGCGATTCTATGTGGATGTAAAAAGGAATTGGCGTGGTCGTTTTATGAAGATTGCAGAGGTAATGGTGACGATTCTACCGACGTATTCGTTAAGGTCGGTCTAGATGGAAGAAAGTCAAGGATATTGCTAACGATGACGGCTGCGGATGATTTGAAGGACAAAATATTGGATCTAGCAGATGTTTATACCGAACTCATGAAAAACAATGCAGAAGAGTCAGGTGATTCTCCCGCACATGTTCCCAAAGTCGATGGAGTTATCAAATCACACACCCTCAACTATCCCCATCGAAGGTATTATCTGGATCTTAAGAAAAATGCCTGGGGTTATTTTCTTCGTGTGACAATGCTATCGACAAACGCTCGAATAAAGTTAGCCATCCCTGCAGATGGGATGCGTGAACTATACAATTCGATTTATGGACTCTTGAAAACTTGGTGGATTCCAGCGCCAGACAAAACCAAAAAGGGTTTTTTTATACTAAGTTCCTCCAATGCTTTGATTTATAGAAGTAAATTTGCCGCCCTCTCGAGCATTTCGTATTGATAGTCGCACTCTTTACTTCGATTCAGTCGCGAATCGGCATGGAATCTTCCTACGTATTTCTCAGGTTTGGGCTACCAGTCGCTCTGCAATCACTATTCCTGGTAAATCTATTGAGAGGTTTAGGGAGATTATCAACGAACTTGCCGACCACATATCTGCGGCTACAGTAGGTGTAATTAATGATGCTAAATATGTTCTAGATTGAACACAAGGAAGATTGTTCATCTAATGAATTACAAAGTAGTGAGAATGATAAAACAGATTCTTCAAATATTTTGGAGGCCTCAGCCCTTGAAACAACCTTTCCGGAGTAAAGTACAATCGTGCACTCGAACGTAATTTCTACTTTGTACATCCAGTTTTGTTTGCATTCCTCTTTGCTCTTCGATCACGCGTGACTCACTCTGTATCATTGTAATCCTACTTCTCGCGTATCATTTGAAAATCAAGCAAAATTTTGCAGTTCATCGGATTCGCTACCATTAAACATTTGTAAACACTGCGAGCTCCCTATTTCTGTGCAAGTATGTAGTCATAATTTAAGTCGAACATGAGCTTACGTCTTGAACTTCACGTTGCTTGCTTGAGCTCGTAGATAGGTATATTCTGCTTATATTTGGCTTTTATCAACTCAAGATTATCTCCTACCCGGCCAGTTCTGAGCACGTACTCTGGTATCAACAGGGCTGTTGCTTCTTTCGACCATGAAGTTAAGCACTTCTTGTTGCGGCGTAACGGCAGTCCTCATCTCTTCCTCTTCCCGTTCATCACGATGCGGGTGAAACGATTGAAAAACCTTATGACTATCAGACCTAGCAAGTGCAGCCTCCACAGTACGAAGATTGACAGCCCGCCTGTGCCATCAATGAGTATATGCCCCATGATTTGCATGCGTTGGTATTATTCTAGTGAAAGAACAGGGAAGCTCCAAGATGGAAAAGTTGATAAAATCAAACCAATGGTTTTGTTTAGTGGTTGCTAATCGTCAGTGGGAGACCTACTAAACTACTTGAGTGCGCTGTCTCGAAAAGACTTTTAATTCATAAATTTGGCTAGTCGTCGCTATGTAAAGGTCACTACTACGTGGTTGTGGTTCATGAATGAGAGTGGGAACAAGGCGGTGGATAGGCGATTAGTAGTCTTGCTTGATCCAACTTGCTCTCACCAAATTAACGCCTGTTCTGTTAAAGTTTGCCGAATGTTATGGCTCAAAAGTGGGCCCTTATGCAAACACCAAGCAAAGGTCTTTGACGGCTACATATCATACCTAAATAAGCTATCAAAGGATGTGAGTCAGTTATCTACAAGTTTCAACTCAGTGAAGAGGCTCACCACGAGCATGAATTCGTCGAAGCTCATATTGCTTTTAACTCGGCAGTTCAACATCATCATCTTAAATTTGAACATCGAACCAGCTTAAATTATCCAAAACTGGGAAAAAAAAACAGGAGTTTCAGGATGCGCGCTAAGTAGTGATTTGTGTTTGTGGATGCTATCCCAGAAAGATAAGACATGTAGACATCCAAAATGGGGCTAAACCACATCACGTTCCTGCTGATGAAAACGCCTCGGTAACCTACCAAATGTCACACCGCTTTACATGCTAATTGTTGAGCAATTAAATGGATGCTCCCACAAAACTACTGTGGTGACGCCATACTTATTTGACCCCAATACTTAATAAGACGAATCCGTTAGTCGGCATGATTACTATTTCCCCCTTGGTGATGTTTCTTCCAGTATCGCAAAGTACGAATTCTCCTTCGGGTCAATGACAAACCTCCTTTACTGGTATGCCTTATCACCACAATAACAGAGGCCCGGAGTGCCTCGATGGTAGCAGCAGTGAGAATATACGACCCAAGTAAAGAACAACCCAAATCCCACTGGATAATTATCAAATCAAAATATCACATAAGGATATCCCAAAGATGCATTCACATGTGCCAATTCATCCCATCTTGCACCCCGCAAGAAGGTAGCTAAAAGCGAAGGCGACTGGCATGGGCCAGTTGTGATACTAATGTCTGGTTAGCATTAAAATAAGAATGGGGTAGCGTAAATACAACCATTTCGAGTTCATTGGCGTCCTTTTAGAGTTACGACTGCGCTGCGACATTCGAAACAAAAGAGCCAAAGGAAAGCATATATGACACCCAAGGCAGATGCTCCGCCAGTGCTAATAGTCTTCTACCCTCCTATCAAGACCTCAGAGAAGGTGTGGCGCAAGATAATCACGGTTAATAGGACTACAGGACGTCCCTTAGAAGTAATCCTGCAACATAAGTTTGATAGAATTTTTATTTAGGACTTAGGTGCTACAGCAAAACCAATCCAGTAATTATTAGGATTAACGCAACTTTTAGCTCTACAATTCACGATCTACCAGATAAAAATAGAGGACGACATACCAGATCTCCCTACTACAGGTGAGCCCAAAACATATAAAGTGAAAGCCAGTAGCCTTCTCGTTACAATCTGTGAACGCTTTTCACCAATTAACTCCACAAAACTACTAGCTGCAAAAACTATAAGTAAGAATGTAGTTAACTGAATGGTTAAATTAGTCATCAAATGCATTAGCTGTATACTTCTTTTGTGCCTGCCTGGACAGATACCGTTCCTTTTCCCGTTTACTCAGCAATCTCAGCCTTTCCTCTTTCACCTTTGCCTTAAGCTTACCTAGGAAAGAAACCAGTTTGTCATCAGGGAGAGTAAACAACGATTAAATAACTGCGTAATATATGTACCAATGCTTTCAGCGTACTAAAAGGCACTAACTCACTTCTTGTCATAAATGATGCTCGTCTTCCCATCTTGAGATCTACCATCTGTGCCTTCTGAAGGTCGTGTTTCACTCGTCGTTTTAGCGCAATGTCCCTTTCTGTAGCTCGACGTTGATTAAGCAATTTTATTCCTTTCTTTATTCTATCGCGTTGATCTCCGGATTTAACATTTCTTAGCTGTTTTTTCAGCGCCTATAATGACAAGTTAAGGTCAGAAAGGTTGGCAACAATGTAGGAACCATCGACCATGTTCAAAGATTCTGGCAACTTTGACATCAAATGACACGACAGCAACCAAAAAAGTAAACATGCCTAGCAATACAAGTTAGTAACACTGAGGAAGCTACTTCATTTAAGAAGTCAAGGTTTGTTTTAAGGCAGAATATTGGGGCCACCATGTACTAGGATTATCCAATATAACGCAATTCGTTTTAACAATTAATATCACGTAAGAAGATCAGCGAAGACAGTAAAAGAGAACGACGACAGAAGACAGTGACGGGTGCAAAAGCAAAAAATGTTGTTGAGCTAGGGGCCAAAACATTCAGCCACAGAGAACGCATTGCACCAAGTACAAATGAACAACAGAACAGGAATTCAACTTGAAAGAAGTTTATACTCATCAAATCTTACCCTTAGATTTGCGTCCTGTTCCTCCTTCAAAAACGTCCAGTCATTTAGTACGCAGAGGCCATTAACCCTAGGATCAAATCTTGGATCTCTGAAGCTTTTTTTTCGTAACAGCTCCTTTCGTGCGGCCGCAAAATCCCTCCCTAGATGGTTGGAAAGTGCAAATTTGTCCCTCTTAAGTTGTCTGTAGGACAAAGACACAGGCCCGTCATCGAGGTCACTTTCCGAACACATCGCCATCAACCACACAAATTAAAACTTAAGATGATGATAATGAGTTAAGACTCGTAAAAAATTATACATTTTAAACGTAGTATAACAATCTAACCTACAAATGAATTAATTTCGTAATGCAAAACTGCGCCTGTTAATGGGGTGTGAAAGGCTGCGGACTAGCATAGTTTGGAATAGGACTACACGTCTTAAGTAGCTGCTCAAGCCTGATGGTAATTATTAACTGAATTGACAAATGTATATTCAGGAATAAATTAGTGATTGTTCCTCAGTGCAATTGTGCATTGACTCAAGATTGCAAAAAAACATGCAGCTCTTTTACGCTGAGAATATAAAGACTACCTGGAGCTAAAATAAATGAGTGGTAAAAGCACATGCATTTAAGCAAAATCAAAAGGGTCGAGGCTCTGGCATGACTCTGAATTAAAACCGCACTTAGGAGGGTTATGACGGCTTAAGTGACAGCCATCTATTCAAACAATCACTAAAAGTATCACATTTGCGGCCTTTTGAGGCTTTCCACTAGTTAGAAGGCGTTAACAAAAGAATAATGGATTAGGGTTTGGCTTGGCCTGAGCATCAGTCCACCCGTACATGGGCAAGACAAATACCAGCTAAACAAAGTGTTACATTGTCTTTCTGGTTTTAACCACCGTTTTTGACGCTCTTTTAGTTTATCTTTTGCACCGAATATCACGACGCGTTCGGCACTGGGAAAGTATTAACGAGCCAATAACAATGAAGGATTGCACTTGGTCTTGTCAGTAGCATTAATAAAGTCTGAAGTTACATGCGATCCGAAGGTACGAATCATAAAGGGGGATTTTTGTTGACCATCATCGTGCCAAAGAGCGAACTTTGGTACATCGGCCTAAAGTAGATGTTTAGCAAGGTAATCGGGATCAAACGCAGCCACACATGGAAAATGCAATTACTTTAAGATTTGTCTGGCCCTTGTAGACGTGGCTGACCCTTGAGCCAATCTCAGACTAAATTTTATTTGCTCCCTTTGGAATACATGCACTTAGCTCCATTGCCCAGTGGGAAGTCTTGGGCCGCTACATGCGGTAACAATAATTCGGGTGCGAAATTTCTCTGAATAGTTGTTGGATCAAGAACGTACGAAAACAACAGTCCCAGATCTTCTGTGGTAAAGATTTTTAAGAATCTTTTGTCTGATACGTACGCACTCTCTTCGCACGGCAGAAATATTCCGCAAATGGTGAACACTAAGAGGGAAGTAGTAACGGAATCAGCTTTTGCAAGTGCTTCCACTAGTTTAGACTCTCGGGACTTCCCACTAGATAGAAACCATTAGGTTAAATCCTAAGGCATACACACGAATACAAGCACCAAGATAAGCGTTAGAGACTCAACTAATCTCTTGCACTACCCCAACAAAAATATCCCGTCTACCATCGCGGCGCAATCGGTGCTAAATAAGGCAGTCATTATCAAGAGGTGAAATCGGTTTCTTCTTGCTTAAGTAAATCTGGCCTCAACCTCACCATTTGCTCACGGCGGCCTTAAATGTTTCAGAACTTCCATTCGATTTAATACCGAAGTTTAAGAGCTGATGTTTGCGTTCAATAAATTTTTTTTAAGAATAACAGAACAATAACATAATTTTAATAATAATAACATAATAAAATAAATAAGAATAG